TCAACTGGGAGTCATCTCTTCTTTCTTCAATGAAGTCAAGGTCGTACCTCCTAAACTCGTCATTTGTCATCTCACTAAAATGCAGACGTCTTGGAGACGGTAGTCCGACCTCAACAGGGCTCATTGCCTCAGTTCCAAATGCCATGAGGAAGGGTGTTTCTCCAGTTGGGGTCCTCGTGGTGGTTCGGATCACCCAAAGTACTTGTGGCAGCTCATCCACCCAGGCCCCCTTCGACATATCAAGCTTCCTTTTTAGAACATGTTTGATTGTTTTGTTGATAGCCTCAAATTGGCCATTTGCTTGTGGGTGGTGAGGTGTGGAGAAATGCTTCTTGATGCCAAGTTCCTCGCATAGTTTTCTGACCTTCTTGTTGTCGAATTGTTTGCCATTGTCTGAGACGATAGAGTAGGAAATTTCGAACCGGCATATAATATTCTTCCATAAGAACTTGGAAGTGTTTGCTTCTGTAATTTTTGCTAGTGGTTCGGCCTCAACCCATTTTGTAAAGTAATCGATGGCCACAATTGCAAAGCTTGCACCTCCTCTATCTTTAGGTAGAGGACCTATGAGGTCCACACCACACTTCGAGAAAGGCTAAGGGCTGGAGACCGTAGTTAAATCCTGTGACGGTTGTCTTTGTACCGAAGAGAATCGTTGGCATTTGTCACACTTTCATACAAACTGGAAGGTGTCCCTTTTCAGGGTAGGCCAGTAGTACCCCTGACTCAATATTTTTTATGCTAAAGATAGACCTCCAGAGTGATTGCCGCACACACTCTCATGGACTTCTCTTAATATGTAGTTAGCATCTTCTCCTCCGACACACCGTAAGAGTGGAGAGGAGAAGCTTCTCTTATAGAGAACATCATCAATGAAGAGGAAGTGGGCTGATCTCCTCCTTAGCTTGTAGGCCTCGAGCTTGTCAGTGGGAAGTACCTGGTCTTTAAGGTATGCTACAATCGGCTGCATCCAGGTAGGGGTCCCAGTGACTCACATGACATTGGGGGTCTCGGTCAATGGTAGGAGGAGGTGCTCTATAGGTACTACCGTGAGTAGTTTCGAATCCTTGCTACTAGCGAGCTTGGAGAGTGCATCCGCATGAGAATTTTCAATGCGGGGGATCTGGATTAGTTCGAATTTTTCAAAAGGATGGGATGAGGTTCATCACTATTTTCAAGTAGGAGACCATTGTTTTGTCCTTGGCTGAGAAGTTACCATTTACTTGGCTAACAACCAGCATAGAGTTACTACTTATGAGGAACCTCTTTACTTGCATTTCCTTGGCCAGCTTAAGGCCTGCAAGTAGTGCCTCATATTCTACTACATTGTTGGTGGTCTTGAACCCGAATCTCATCGCTGAGTTTAGCTTGTGACCCTCAAGGCTAATGAGGACCACTTCAGCACTTGAGCCGGCGTCTCCAGCCGACCCATCCACGAATAAGTTTTATGTAGGTGGCTCGGTGGGTTCCATGATTTCATCTACGTCAGGTAAGTTAGTGAATTCTGCCATAAAGTCAGCCAAGGCCTAACCCTTGATAGTTGCCTTAGCCTTAAACACGAGGTCAAATTCGCTTAGCTCCACTGCCCACTTCAATAATCTTCCTGAGGCATCGGGCTTTTGGAGCACTTGCCTTAGGGGAAAGTTTGTCAGCACATGGATGGTGTGAGCTTAGAAGTAGGGTCTTAGTTTTCTGGAGGCCGTGATCAAGGCCAGAGCGAGCTTCTCCATATCGGGGTAACAGGTTTCCGGTGATAGAAGTGCTTTACTTGCATAGTAAATTGGAAGTTGGGTGGTTTCGTCTTCTCGAGTCAAAATCGAACTGATGGCCCCATTTGAGACGGCCAAGTATAGTAGTAGGATTTCTCCAGGCTTTGGTTTGGAGAGGAGGGGGGCCTGCCCCAGGTGCCTTTTCAGGCCTTGGAAGGCCTCTTCACATTCCTCGTTCCATTGGAACTTCTTCCCAGCTTTCAGTACTTTGAAAAATGGGAGGCATTTGTCTGTAGCTTTGGAGACGAAGCGGCGAAGTGCGGCCACCCGCCCAATCAAACTTTGTACCTTCTTTGGCTTTTGGGGAGACCTCATCTTGTATAGAGCCTTAATCTTCTCCGGGTTTGCTTCAATTTCACGTTGATTGACCATGTATTCCAAAAATTTGCCAGAAGCCACTCCAAAGGCGCATTTGAGGAGGTTGATCCTCATCCTATACCTTCTCAAGATTTGGAAGGTGTTGTTGAGGTGCATTATGTGGTCCTCAGCCTCTAAACTCTTTACCAACATGTCATCCATGTATACCTCTATTGTTTTGCCGATGAGGTCCATAAACATTTTGTTGACGAGCCTTTGATACGTTGCTCTGGCATTTTTCAACCCGAAGGGCATCATCCTATAACAATAGAGGCCTCGATCTTTGATGAAAGAAGTGTGCTCCTCATTGGCCGGGAGCATGGGTATTTGGTTGTAGCTGGAGTATGCATCCATGAAGCTCAACAACTCGTGCCCAGCCGTGGAGTCTACTAGTTGGTCAATCCTTGGAAGAGGAAAGCTGTCTTTCGGGCAAGCACTATTGAGGTTGGTGAAATCGATGCACACCCTCCACTTGCCATTGTGTTTCTTTACCAAAATCGGGTTGGAAACCCACCTCGGATATGTAGCTTTCCTGATAAAGCTGTTTTGGATGAAATTCTGAACCTCTTCCCTCAGAGCCTCGTACCTTTCAGGATTGAGGGCTCTCCTTTTTTTCTGTACGGGCAACCTTAGGATCGACCTTCAGGTGGTGGCAACTGACCTTGGGGTTTATACTTACCATGTCCTCATGCTTTCAAACAAAAGATTTTTACTTAGGAAATCTTTAATCTTTTCCTTCAGAGTGTTAAATAAGCCCTTGCCTACTCTCAGCATCTTGGATGGGTCTCGGGGGTCCACCGAGAAGTTCTCAAGTTCCTCGACTGGGATGCTTGAGGATCGTGTTCAATTATGCGAGGATCGATCTCGTCAATGACCAAGATCTCCGGATTGCGTGGTGCATCTATCATATCGACATCTTCTGGTTCAGTGGAAGCATCACCTGGGACGTCGGCCATGACTATATATGCTATAATTACATGGACGTCTCGGGACTTTACCTCTCACCGTTGCTACCCCATTTTTCGTCGGAAATTTCATGCATAGGTAGTGGATAGAGGTGACTGCTCCCAATTCCTTTAGGGCTGGTCTACCTAATACTCCATGGTAAGCCGATCGACTGTCGACAATGAGGAACTCCATGAAGTTCATCTTAGTTTGGGGAGACTCTCCCATCTCCACTGCAAGCATTATCTTTCCCCTTGTAGTGATGTTATCTCCTGTGAATCCATACAGAGGAGTTGTGGTGGGTGTCAACTGGTGATCCAATATCATCTTGTCAAAGGCAGATCCGAATAAAATGTTGACAGAGCTACCGTTGTCAACTAACATTCGCTTGAGCCCATTTCGGGCTATGACGGCCCTCACAACAAGTGCATTGCAATGGGAAAAGTGAACTCCTTCGATGTCTTCCTGAGTGAAGACAATGGGTGGAACTTGGTTCCTCCCGAAGCTGCTGTCCACAATGTAGCTTGTCAAAGGAGGGTGTTTAGCCTCCCGAGCATAATTCCTTTTGGCGTTTCGTGTTTCACCGCCAACGTACGAGCCTCCAAATATGGTGTCTATCTTGTGGATAGGGGCCTCATCCTGGGCTTGTCGGTTTCTTCGGTGCCTGCGTCCTTTCCTAGGTCTCTCCGTCCCGAGGAAACATCCCTTTGATGGGGAGTAGCCTCCTCACGACCACGTTGGTTGTCGTGCCTGGGCGGGGGCCTGTTTGCTTGGGGTGATTCATTTCTATGCCTGGGGGGTTCTGTCCTGAAGCAGTGCGCAAAGTCTCGGCAATCTACCGTGTCGTGTCCATAGGACCTATTTCTAGTTCGACCTATTTCTAGGTCCCGAACCCCGACCTCGACCTCGACCTCTTCCTCTATAGGATCCTTGGGGGGTTTCCATCTACTGGGTGTTAGTGATTCGGTTGATATCCTCATATGCCAAGGTAGGAACTGCGTTTAAAGTGGTGGTGGCAAGTGCTTGGCCGGAACTCTCATTTCCAAGCTGGTTCATTTGGTAGTCCATCAGATGGGAGGTCGGCCCTTTAGCACGTTGCCTCTGAGGAGGTGAGAGGCCTCGACTTGCCCTGTTCCTATGTTCAATCAATTCTTCATTGATGATTTCTCGCCTCATTATCTCAAGTAGGGCATCATAGGTGGTGGGATCTTGATTCTGCACGTCCCTCCAGAATAGGGTATTCATGTTCAAACCTCCTCTTAATGCGGATAGTGCTTCACGGTCGGTGACTTGCATGCAATACGTCATTTTAACGGTGAAGCGAGATAGGAAGCTCTTTAGGGATTCCCCATGTGCTTGTCTCATGTCTTGGAGACACTGGATGGGGGCCTCTCCTTCTTTGCTTACTGCGAATCTCGTCAAGAATGTTGTCTTGAACTTGAACCAGCTTCTTATGCTCCCCAGTAGCAACCTGCTATACCATATTTCAACTGCTCCACTAAGTGTTAAATGGAAAGCTCTGCACTTCACAGCTGGGGTGGCACCCCTTAGGCTCATATGGGTTTTATAAGCATTCAAGTACTTCTCCGGGTCGCCTCTTCCGTCATACTTTGGTATCTTTGGCATTACATAGTGACTAGGAACTTGGGCATTTCTTAGTTCCCTTGAGAACGGCAGATTTTCATCATCATCATCCAAGTCACAAGATCTCGGCTATTCATCTGAATCATATTCCTCGGCCTCTTGCCGTGGTAGTTGGTGAGAGGTTCCGAGATGATTCCTAGCCTCTTTTTCCCTCCTCTGGCGCCTATTTCTAGGCAGAGCAACACGGGGGATATTTTCATGCCTTTCTTCCGGTTGCTGGGGCATCAGAGGTGGAGGCCCGCCTAGAAAGATCTTTGGGCTATCATCTCCATCCATTACTTGTGTATGAAGTTCTCAACTGAGCATGGAATTGCTATGGTTCTAGGTGACCAGATGGGCTCCAGAGCATGTTATCTAAACTCTCTGCGAAAATCAGAGCCCCGCACTGTTAATGTAATCATAACGGAGGTTGCGAACGAACCCGACCTGGATGTGAAAATGCTTGACGTCCCTGAAATAGGGCATACCTCCGAATAGGAGGAAGACGTCGACATGGAAGAGGCCCCCGAAAAAGGGCACCCTCTTGACGAATTAGACCCCCGAATAACTGTCTCAGAACCGAACGCGACCCCAATGGAAGAACTTGAAACTTCCTCCGTCAACCCAGAAGACTCTAGTCAGGTCTTGCAAATAGGAAAGACGTTGTCCCCCAAAGCGAAAGAACAAATGACAAGCTTCCTGAAAAGGAACATGGATTTCTTCGCTTGATAGCACAAAGACATGGGAGGAATAGACCTAAGGATCAGTTGCCATCGCCTAAACATCAATGCCTTATGTGCCCCACATCGGTAAAAAAGATGAGCCTTCAACCCGGAGAGGTACGAAGCGCTCAAAGATGAAGTTAATAAGCTTAGCCGCAGTGGCTTCATCAGAGAAGCCATTTATCCAAAGTGGATATCCAACCCGGTCCTTGTGAGAAAGCCTAGCGGGAAATGGATGGTGTGCGTAGACTTCACGAACTTAAATAAAGCATGCCTTAAGGATAGCTTCCCACTGCCGAGGATAGACCAACTTGTGAATTCCACTGCCGGACATGAACTCTTGAGTTTTATGGATGTGTACTCAGGATACAACCAGATACCCATGTTTCGACCTAATGAGGAGGCCACGTCGTTCATCACAGACAGAGGACTGTACTGCTACAAAGTCATGCCCTTCGGATTGAAAAATATCGGAGCTACATATCAGAGGCTGGTCAACATGATGTTTGCCAAACATATTAGCAAAATCATGGAAGTCTACGTGGACGACATGCTAGTAAAAAATCTCCAGGTGAATGAACATGTAAGTCATCTTGACCAGACCTTTCAGATTCTTAGAAAATACAAAATGAAATTGAACGCCCTCAAATGCACCTTCGGCATGGCTTCGGGTCAGTTTTTGGGGTACATTGTGAACCAAAGGGAAATCGAAACAAATAAGGTTAAGATTAGGGCCTTACTGGAAATGAGATCGCCTCAAAAGCCGAAGAAGGTCCAAAGCCTCAATGGTCGGATAGCTGCGCTCAGTCGCTTCATCTCCAGAGCCACTGATTAGAGACTACCCCTCTTCAAAGTGTTGAAGTAAGGGAAAAAGTTCCAATGGACCGATGAGTGCGAGAAAGCCTTCCAAGCGCTGAAGAAGCATTTAGAAGAGGCGTCTCGATTATCCAAACCTAAACCACAGGAATCACTACTTCTATACTTGGCGGTCTCGAACGAGGCGGTCAGCTCAGTCATTATCAGAGAAGAAGACGAGCATCAATTTTCGATATACTACGTCAGCAAAACACTACTTTCGGTAGAAACTCACTACCCGGACACGGAAAAACTGGCACTCACCCTCATCACGACGTCAAGAAAATTGAGGCCATACTTCCAGGCCCACTTAGTCGAGGTTCTCACCAACTTCCCATTGAAGTAGGTACTGCAGAAAATGGATGCTTCGGGCCGCCTACTAAAATAGGCAATTGAGCTCAGTGAGTTCGGCCTACTGTTCCGACCTAGACATGCCATCAAGAGACAAGCCATTGCAGATTTTGTGGCTAAATTTGCCATAGCACCAGAAATGGAGGCGGCAATGGAACCAACCAAGCCCCCAACATGGAACTTGTTTGTGGATGGATCCTCAGGAGAAACTGGCTCCGGAGCTGGGATCATCTTGGAAAGCCTGGAAGGCCACAAGCTAAATTGCACAGTAAGGCTTGGCTTCAGAGTCTCGAACAACGCTGCAGAATATGAGGCCCTTCTGGCAGGCCTTAGACTTGCAAAAGAAATGCAGATCAGAAGGCTTCTGACAAGCAGCAACTCTCAACTTATGGTGAGTCAGGTCAACAGGAACTTTGTCGTCAAAGACAGTAGCATGGCTGCATATTTAAAATTGGTCCTGGACCTAATCCCACATTTCGAGAGGTTCGAATTGATTCAAGTCCCACGCCTCAAGAAAACTTATGCAGACGCCCTGTCAAAATTAGCCAGCAGCAAAGATTCAAAGTTGCTAAAGATTGTCCCCATTGAACGCTTGTCGAAGCCCTCCATCGCCGGAGGTGAAGAGTTGTTATGGATAGAAAGTACCCTAGCATGGATGCAACCCATCATGGCCTATCTCAAGGATCAATCACTACCAGCTTCAAGAAGCGAGGCGAGAAAGTTAAGAAGGAGGACCGCGTACTTCGTCCTACAAGAGGATGTCCTCTACAAAAGAGACTTTGCCTCACCACTTCTCCCATGTGTAGAAGGGGAAGAAGCCACGTATATACTCAAGGAGATCCATGAAAGGATCTGCGAAAATCACCCTGGAGGAATGGCTCTGGCACACAAAGTGCTCAGACAAGGCTACTTCTGGCCAACCCTGAAAAGGGATGCCTGCCAATTCGTTAAGAAATGTGATAAGTGCCAGCACTTCTCAAATATTCAAAGACAGCCTTCTCAAAGCCTCTCCATAGTCACCAGTCCATGGCCATTCGCTAAATGGGGGCATCGACTTCATTGGTCCATTCCCAAAAGAAAGAGGAATCGCGACTTTTGCCATTGTCGCCATTAACTACTTCACCAAGTGGGTCGAGGTTGAACCTCTTGCCAAGATCATCGAGGCGAATACTACAAAATTCGTCTGGAAGAACATCATTTGTAGGTTCGGCATTCCCCACTCCTTAGTGTTCGACAACGGAAGGGGAGATTTTTATAAATGGCCTACTACTATTCATTTTTGGTAAAATGTCAATAATACCCTTAATGAAATAATTTATCATATA